TCAACTTTTTTTATCCACTAGAGTAACGGTGGTACGACCGTCGTTACCTAAAAGTTCCACCAAAATCTGGGAGGTACAAAAACTCGCCTTGTTAGATGCAACTATGCAACTCACTGTGGGAAACGACATGCCAGGTCATTTCTGTTGTATGTTTGTGAAAATAATCATTCATTACACTAGAATTCTTGTTCGTGTGTAAAGGGTTCATGTTGTACTTCAAATACTGTTTGGTAATAAATTAATACGGAGTACTTCAGACGGCCCACAGAAGTTCATAGGGCCCATACAAGTCACGACAATCTAAGCCAATTATACGATGGTTCTTTGCTGATTGTCAACTTTCGTCCTCCAACACTGTAGTGCAACTGTTACCATTGGCCATTCAAATTGTACAACAATATTCTCCGAATTTTGTCACTGAGTTGTCATTGTCAACAATATTTGAAGCACTAAAGAAGTGTGTCACAGGACATTAGTTTTCATCTTTCTTGCGGAGTACTTATTAATCAACCCAATCAATTGTCAAGATCAAACCTTTTCACCTCATAGCCGTCACCTTCTCTCTCTTCACTGGGTCTTCCTCTTCACCTCATTCAATTGTCAAAATCAAACCTTTTCACTTCACAACCGTCACCTTCTAAACTTAAACCCAATTTATTTCTCTCTCTTCACTGTGTAAAGTATGATTAGAGGAAAACTGTATTCTTTCATTTATGTCACTTCATTGGCAGCTGAATTAGTTTGGCAGGGGAAATATTTTGGCGGAGGAAATTGCTTTGGCAGACGACTGACTTCTTCTCCGATATTTCCGAAACTATCTCCTTGTATTGTCATTCTCACATTGCGTGCTGGCTGGCCTTGTTGATGCAAGTCTAAGCATGGAGAACTTCGAAGATTTGCTTATCATGCATCAAGATAGCTTATCTCTAAACATTGATTCAAGTCAAGCATTGCATGGACACTTTCTTGGATACCCAAGCATAGCTATGGTTTGCTTGGTTGCGTTTCTTGGAGTCTAAACTTCTTTCTTTAAGTTTCTTTACTTAGATTTTTCTTACAAATTTTTACCTTTCACTTGAAAGGGTTTTTCTTGGTTCAAGCGTTAGGATCCATAAGCTTTTGATTAGTTTCTTTAAATTAGGAATTAATTAAATTATTTTCTTTAATTAATTTAATTAAGCGTTTGTTTAGGCGTATAATTAAGAGCTTGGTGAGCAAGCTTGATTAAGATAGGATTTGGTTTATTTTAGGAAACTAAGCAAATCTTATCCTAGGACTAGTTAGAGTTCTAGTTGGATTAGATAACAAATCAAATTATATCTTAATTGATTAGTTATGTAAACCGTGTGTGCTAGCTTGAGGTTCAAGGCTTTTCTCCTTGTTCTCCAAGTTGGTTTAGAAGTCTAGTTTGCTTAGGATTGAATTAGGGACTTGTCCTAATCTTCCTAAGAGAGTCTAGTATATAACTAGGTTTATTATCACATGAAATAATCAGACAATTATTGCATTATTTGAGTTTTAACATTTGACTCTTAATTGATGGATTTCAATTGATGTTTTTCTTGTTTTAGTTAAAACATTCGTTTAGGTTGATTAATTATTGGTGAATTTTCCTGTATAGAATTAAGCTTGATTCATATCTTTGTGTGTTTTAGTTTTAGGACTAAAATTCACATTATCTTGGTATCAGAGCCAGGTTCCGATAGAAAAAAACCTGGTAATGTTTGGCTGGGTATTTTTGCGTGATTCTTTTTGCATTAGTCTCTAAAAATGTCTAGCTATCACCATAAAATATATCATAGTTTTTGGTTTAGTAACGAACTCTGTACAGCCTCAAACGTTTGGTGTTGTTACACTAGGTTGCGGTTGGGAGTCCGGTTTTTGTTTGCTTCAAGATTCCTTCAAGATTTGATCTTTTAATCAAGATTTTTGCATAGACTAACTTGATTTGTGTAGGAATAATGAGTGACAAAGAGGTTCCACAAGTTCCAAGGGGTTTAACCTTAGAAGAAGCTCAAAACCTTAGGAGAGATAGACAAATCACCGAGTTGGCAACAAGGTTGGAGGAGGTATTAAAGAGACTTGATACTCGTGATGGATCTTCATCAAAGATGGGTGATTCTAAGCCTAACTCTAGTTCTAGTTAGGAAGAACAACCAAGGAGAAACCCTAGGAGGTCACGAAAGAATTATTCATCTAGCGATGATTCACCTAGACCTAGGAGAAGGGATAGACCAAAAGATGATGATAGAAACCTTAGGTTAGACCTTCCCGAATTCAATGGGAGTATGAATGAACCAGAGAAATATTTTTAATGGATTAGAAGGGCCGAAACACTCTTTGATTACAAGGATTATGATGAGAGAAAGAAGTGTAAAATTGTTTAATTGAAGCTCACTGGTTATGCTAGTCTTTGGTACGATAATTTGAAAAAGAAGAGGTATAACAAAAAGCGTAACAAAATCACAACTTGGGAGCAACTCAAGAAGCACATCAAAAAGAGGTTCGTTCCTAGTGGTTATACTCAAGATATCTATCTTAAGATGCAAACTTTTAAACAAAATTCTATGACTGTTGAGAATTATATTGTTCAATTTGAGAAGTTATGCATGCTATGTGCGTGGTTTAGAAGAAATTGTTGAACATAAGATTGCTTGTTTTGTTTCTGGTTTGAATGATAATATTGCTAAAAAATTTGAATTACAACAATATTGGTCTTTTGAGGATGTGTGTAAAGTGGCTATCAAAGTTGAAAAAACAATTAAAAGGGAAGAAAAGCTCATTCTCTAAACCATTTACAATAGTATTCTCAAAACCTTTTGAGAAAGCTAGTGTGGAAAGGGGTGGTTCTAGTTTAAATTACAAAGAATCTAAGCCTAAATTCAAAACTAACAAGAAGTTTGTGTAAGGAAGGAAGTTCTTTAAGTGTGATAGTGTTGGTCACATTGCAAGTGATTGTCCTTCTAAAAGGGTCATGAATGCACAAGAATGGGAACAAGAGCAGGCTATGTGTGAGCAAGGTAGTGACATTGAAAAGGATGAGGAAAACTTTGAAGAAGAGGAGGAACACATGAAGAAATAGATCCCGAGACTCAAGGTCAGAGTTTGGTCCTAAGGAGAGCACTACAATCAAAACCTATGTCTATTGAAGGCAATCAAAGGGAGAAAATCTTTCTAACAAGATGCAAAGTAAAAGATAGGTTGTGTGATATGATCATAGACACGGGAAGTTGCACCAATGTAGTGTCTACTACTTTAGTAGATATATTAGAGTGGCCAATTACCGAGCATCCAAATCCTTACAAGCTTCATTGGCTCAATAATTCAAGTGATGTCAAGGTGGATAAACAAGCTCTAATATCCTTTTAAATTGGTAAATTTCATGACAAAGCTTTGTGTGATGTTTGCCTTATTGATGCATGTCATATACTATTAGGCCGTCCTTGGCAATATGATAGATTTGTGAAATTTTATGGAAGGACTAATGTGTATGCTATGAGGAAAGGAGAAAACGAGAAGCCGGTTGCATTGAAACCTTTGATAAACAATATACCTTCTATTTTTACCTCTAATTCGAAGAGTTCCTACTTGATTAGTGAGAGGGAAGTGGAGAAAAAAATTGGTAACAATAACATGGTGTATATAATTGTTTTCAAGGAGGTCCGAATTGACAAAGAAGAACAAGGGAAGAGGCCAACTGAGTTAGAAGGAGTTTTGGAAGAGTTTCAAGATGTATTTCCTAAGGAGTTACCTCCGGGACTACCTCCTATTCGTGGGGTAGAGCATCAAATTCACTTAATTTTGGGAGCACCATTACCTAACAAAGAAGCTTATAGAAGTAATCCGGAAGAAACTAAAGAAATTAAAAGGCAAATTGAGGAACTTATTACAAGAGGTTATGTTAGGGAGAGCATGAGTCCTTGTGCCGTACCTACACAACTTGTTCCAAAGAAGGATGGAAGTTGGCGCATGTGTATTGATAGTAGGAGTGTGAATAACATCACAATCAAGCATTGTTTTCCTATTCCAAGATTGGATGACTTACTTGATGAGTTACATGGCTCGAAATTGTTCTAAAAAATTGATCTTATGAGTGGATACCATCAAATTCGAATGAGAGAAGGAGATGAGTGGAAAACAACATTCAAAACAAAGGTTGGATGGTATGAATGGTTGGTGATGCCGTTTGGTCTTACTAATGCTCCAAGCACTTTCATGAGGTTGATGAACGAGGTACTCAAACCTTTCCTTGGTAAATTTGTTGTTTTTTAATTAGATGATATTTTAATTTACTCTAAAAATTTGAATGATCATCTAAACCATCTTAGAAGTGTGTTTGAAGTATTGAGGGAAAAGAAACTCTATGCTAAGCTTGAAAAAAGCTATTTCATAGTGCCTAGTGTTACTTTTCTTGGTTATGTCGTGTCTAAGGATGGAGTTTCAGTGGATAAGTTGAATGTGGAAGCTATTAGAACTTGGCCTATTCCAACTAATGTTAGTGAAGTAAGATCTTTTCATGGTTTAGCTTCATTTTATAGAATATTTGTGAAGAATTTCTCTAGCATTGTGGCACCTATGACTGAATGTTTGAAGAAAGAAAAGGGGAAATTCGAGTGGACTAAAGAGGCTCAAAGTGTATTTGAGTTAATTAAAAAGAAGCTTTGTGAAGATCCTATACTTGCTTTACCTGATTTTACAATTCCTTTTGAGGTTGACACCGATGCAAGTGGAGTTAGGATTGGAGCGGTTTTGTTACAAACGAAGCTCCCTATAGCTTATTTTAGTGAGAAATTGAATGAAGCTCGTTGAATTATTCTACTTATGATAAAGAATTCTATGCTATTGTGAGAGATTTAGATCATTGGAGTCATTACTTAAGGCCTAATCACTTTGTGTTGCATTCCGATCATGAAGCATTAAAGTAAATACATGGACAACAAAAACTCAATCCTAGACACGCTAAGTGGGTTGAATTTTTACAATCATTTAATTTTTCTTCTATGTACAAAGAAGGGAAATCGAATGTAGTAGCGGATGCACTCTCTAGAAGATATACTTTGCTTGGAATTCTTAACAGCAAATTACTTGGTTTTGAATTGATCAAGGAATATTACAAGGGAGATGATGATTTTTCTACGCTTATTGAAAGGTGTTCTAAGGGATCCGTAGGTTCTTATATGTTGCAAGATGGTTTTCTTTTTAAAGGAAATCGACTTTGTCTTCCTAAGTGTTCTATTCGAGAGCTAGTAGTTAGAGAAGCTCATGGAGGTGGAATTGCTGGTCATTTTGGCATTACAAAGACCTTGACTATGTTACAAGAGCACTTCTATTGGCCTAAGATGCTTGCAGATGTACAATTAGTTGCATCTAGATGTGCAACTTTTTAAACAGCAAAGGCTACGTTTCATCAAGGCTTGTACACACCTTTACCTGTTCCATATTCACCATGGGAGGATGTATCTATGGACTTTATAGTGGGATTGCCGAGAGCACAAAGGGGAAAAGATTCAATCTTAGTTGTTGTGGATCGTTTTTCTAAAATGGCTCACTTTGTTCCTTGCCATAAAGTGGATGATGCTATGAAAGTTTCAGAATTATACTTCAAAGAAATTGTTAGACTACATGGAATTCCGAAAACTATTGTGAGTGATCATGATACTAATTTCATGAGTTTCTTTTGGAAATCTCTATGGAAGCTCGTGGGAACTAAGTTACTTTTAGTACATCTTATCATCCACAAACTGATGGACAAACCGAGGTTACTAATCGTACTCTTGGTGTGCTTTTGTGTGGACTAGCTCATGCAGAGTTTGCTTATAATAGATCACCTACTCATGCTACAAAACATAGTCCTTTTGAGGTAGTTTATGGAGTGAATCCGAAACTTCCTATTGATCTTGTTCCAATGCCTAAGGGTGAATTGATACACAAAGATGCCGAGTCTAAATTGAAAAGTATGCTAAAATTACATGCTCAAGTTCGTGCAAGAATTAAGAAAGTGAATGACTTGTATAAGTCAAGGGAAAACAAGCATAAAAAGCAACAAAGTTATAATGTTGGAGACTTGGTATGGTTACATTTGAGAAAGGAAAGATTTAAGGGAAAACGCAAGAGTAAGCTAATGCCTAGAAGTGAAGGTCCTTTCAAGATTGTTGAGAAGATCGATGACAATGCTTTTAAGTTAGAACTTCCAGGAGAGTATGGAGTTAGTGCTACAGTCAATGTTGGTGATTTGGCTATATACATTCCTGATGAAGAACTTCAAGATTTGAGGACAAATTCTTTCAATGAAGAGGAGGATGATGCAAGTCTAAGCATGGAGAACTTCGAAGATTTGCTTACCATGCCTAAAGATAGCCTGTCTCTAAACATTGATTCAAGTCAAGCATTGCATGGACACTTTCTTGGATACCAAAGCAAAGCTACGATTTTCTTGGTTGCGTTTCTTGGAGTCTAAACTGCTTTCTTTAAGTTTCTTTACTTAGATTTTGCTTACAAGTTTTTACCTTTCACTTGAAAGTGTTTTTCTTGGTTCAAGCATTAGGATCTTTAAGCTTTTGATTAATTTCTTTAAATAGGGAATTAGTTAAATCCGTTTCTTTAATTAGTTTAATTAAGAGTGTGTTTAGGCGTGTAATTAAGGGCTTGGTGAGCAAGCTTGATTATTTTAGGATTTGGTTTGTTTTAGGAAACTAAGAAAATCTTATCCTAAGAGAGTTTAGTATATAAATAGAATTATTATCACATGAAATAATCAGATTATTATTGCATTATTTGAGTTTTAACACTTGAGTCTTAATTGATGGATTTCAATTGTTTTTTTGCTTGTTTTAGTTAAAACAATCATTTAGGTTGATTAATTAGGTGGATTATTAGTTAATTAATCTGGTTTCTTGTTTAGTTCTTGGTGGATTTTCCTGTATATAATTAAGCTTGATTCATATCCTTGTGTGTTTTAGTTTTAGGACTAAAATTCACATCACTTGTGCTCGCTGGCTGCGTATGCATGCGGGCTATGTGCGTGTGTGGTGGTTGGCTGGCCAGGCTACTCTGCCTTGGTGCTAGGCACCAGCTGGCAGCCTAAGGAGCCAAGGCAGGCTGCCTGCCAGCCACTTGGAGAGGAGGGTCGGTTTGCTTGTGGGGACCAAGGGTGTGAGCTTTTCCTAGGGGAGGAAGGCTATGGTCCCCCCCCCCTTTGAAATGGTCCTCACGTAATCTATCATCCTCTTTGTGCCACTCGTAACTTATTGATTGAATTGCAATTTTAATTTTGTTTTGATTAAAATAAAATGGGAAAATTGCAAATCTCCCAAATCGAATGAGAATGGGAATTCAAAGTTTATTTCCCTATAAATACCAAGGTATTGGGATTTGGGAAGAACACTTGAGTGGAACTAAAAAGGCATCTCCTTAGAAATGTGAGAAAACCTTAAGTTCGTAAAACTCTCGTTTTTATTGGTCGGGTCCCGATTAACCTTCGAGACTTGGACCGTTCGGGTTGGGTTCATGGGTACGAGTCGTCGGAGACCTTCGCATTTGTGGGTTTCAATTTTTTGAAGTAAGAGCTCGGGATTCGAGCGAAGCACGCGCTATGGGTATGAATGTCTTTTCCTTCTCTCTCTTAATTGTTGTTTAATTTGTGATTGCATGCTTAGTCGTTTTAATTAGTGGGCGGGTCTAGGGTTGGTTCCTTCTTTCACGTAGAGTCGGACTCTACGAAACCCAACATCAACCGCATATACATGGCTATGCTGCAACCCAAGCATGCATGTACGTGCTAGACTTGCTGGCCGAGCATGCTTGCGGGGCTACTACGCCTAATCGCATGCTAGCTAGCACCAGCACGCATGGCTGGGCTAGCAGGGGCATGGCAGCAAGTGCCTTATGGGCAGCGAGGACCTATCAAGCATGCTAGGCCATGCGAGCAGCAATGCCGCACAGCACAAGGCCCAACACGTAAGTTGGCCTGTGCGTGTGTTGGTGTCATTGATGTAGCAATTCAAGTACCAATTGAAGGAAAAGATGGAACTTTGTTTCACAACGCATTAGATGCTTAATTATGCCTAACAAAGTGTAAATGTCAAAGTACTTACAGAAATGATTCTTAAAGTTATGAGATGGTGTATGATAAGAAATATAGGAAACAAGGAACAAGAAAAGGATTAAGATTCTTTTTTCTACCCATAAGTTCATGCTATTATGGTCAACTTAGTAATTCGTTATCTTCATAAGTATTGGATACTGCTTGAGTGTTCCGCTGTAAAAGTGACCTCAAACCATTGAAGACAAGCTTAGTTATTGACTTACAAGCTTAGAATGAAGCAAGAAGAGCTACATCAGTTGTAAGGTCATTTGTTTTGTTTAATGTCCTTTTGAGCCAAGGCTGGAACCAATAATGGTTATTGTGTTCCATAATCAGCAAACGATCCGTTTACACACGGAAAGACTCACATTCAATAAAGGAGCAATAGTTGCGGGTTTTATTTGAATGGCATGGTTGTCTAAGCCATGAGTCAAGAATGCTAGATTATAAACAAACATTTCCTTAACATGAAAACTCACAAGGTTCAAGTCATGGACATGATTTGTGTTCCAAACATCTTTAGCAATGTCACATCAACAAGAACGTACTCAAGGCTTTATTAGATAGACTCTTACTTGTTCGATTCGGAATCGTCCTAAGACAAAAAAGTCTTACTTGTTCAAATCGACAAAGAAAGGAGCTATTGTTCTTGGTAAAGACAATTAATACAAAAGCTAAAGAGAATTCCATTACTTCAACGTCTCACAAAAAGTTGAAAGAATGTGGCTACATTCAACAAATGTGAACAAACTGGACCTTGAGCAGCTCAAATGTTTAGTGAAGTATAGAATCAACTTGGCTAGATATCAAAACATCTAGATTAGATCAAGCGATGTTTGCTTGAGCCAAGAGTGATCATATAAAACTTATGAAATTGAAATTTCATAATGAGCTCTAAAAAGAATATATTATGTCTTGACGGATACCTCAATGCCATTTGGAAATGACTCGAATGATGATGGATCACATCCCTTCCTATAAAGTTCTTACAGATTTGCACAAATGACTAATGTTACACTAAAAAAAATTGTCGAAGCTAAGAAAGGACAACATAATCAGTTATGGATAGAAATAGTTTCTAGCGTCTGTTCAAGTATATGTCTAGGGCTCTTAGCTCAGTGGGAGTTGATTGGCTCAGTGAGAGTTCATTGACTGAGTGGGAGCTAAGTGGCTCAATAAGGGCTAAGGTAGCTCAAGAAGGAGCTAACTATTTGTTTCACAACGAACTTTTACCCAAAGACAATATACACGTCTCTTTGTAAGTATTCAAGTGAGACTACGGGCATTACCTCCACAACCTAATTGAGAACATAGTATTTGTTGCTCTAAGTGGTGTCTTTCTGGAAAGTAACACATTTCCAAAACGACAAGTGGAAGGAAAATGAACTCGATGACCATCGAGATTAGCAACAAACTAGAACTGAGAATCTCCGAAGACTTTAGAAGGGCTTCATGAGAATGATTGATCAAGAATACTCAAAGGACTTTACAAGTGCCTTAAATGAGAATTCAATACTCACAAAACTTTAGAAGTGGTGGAGTACGATCAATATAATCAAAGGGCTTTAAAAGCACCTTGAAACTCAGTGTTTGATGCAATTACCCGTATAGGTATAGAATTCACCAAAGGCTTGGATTGAATCCTATAAATATCTATTAAGTTAGAAATAAACCTAAGACTTACAAGCATATTATTTACCATTGGATGGTGAGGGAATAATGTCTTGTAAATTAGCAACAAAAAATCCGAATTTCGAATAATGGTTAGAGGCCATAAAATCCGAAATAGACTCCATGTTTGTAAATCATGTTTGGAACTTGATTCATTTGCATGAAGGGTGAAAGACCCATCAATCGCAAATAAGTTTTCAAGAAGAAAACTGACAAGTGTGAAATGCATAGTGCATTTAAAGCTTGATTAGTTGAAAAGGATTCAATTAATTCACGGCGTTGATTTTAATAAAAACCCATTCACCAATCAGAACGCTTAAGTCTTTTCGTGATTATTCTAGCAAAATTGCGCATATAAAATATGGCAATGCAAAATGGATAACGAAACCGCCTTCCTAAAATGGGATTTTATGAAGAGACTATGGAAATAGTCTAAGGGTTTTGATAATCTAAATAATGCTAGATTTGAAAGCAAGCTCAAGAAATCCATTGTGGGATTAAGTGAAGCATTGCATGTAGGAATTGGAACATGTATTCTCATAAAGGCAAAAAAAGGTTTGAAATATGGAGAATCATAAATTCTTATGGACAAGAAGTTTAGTGGGAGCAAGAGTCAATCTCGAATGGTCCAAC